CGAGCAAACCGCTAAAAGCTTTGGCGAAAATTAGTCTGAGTCGGGAGGGCATGTGGGATGCCCTAATCCATTCCGAACTGCCTAAGGACCCTGTCTGGTCGATAGACGACGCTAGACATGCCCTCCTCATTCTACACGGGTAGAAATTTGGGGCGTATCATAGCAGCAATAAAAAGGGAGTTAGCCTGGACACTATCAAGAGAAAAATCAACGTGACGGGCCTCTAAAAAATAAAATGGGACAACAGAAATGCCTGGAAGAAGTTAAGTGAAAGGGCGGAACACACACTACTCCATGCGGTCGACGTAGTCTGCAAAGGGTCTGTTGGGGCCAAGGCCAGACCATTGAGAGATGTGAGGGAGGGATTGACGCACTTGCCTCATAATAGAATGACCCTCTGCATCTAGAATAGAGTAGCCCTCTGCATCAAAGACTTCATTGGTAAAGAAGGCCTTATGCTCTTTAGGGATAGGGCCCATGGCAGGGAATCTCTCACAGAAAAAAGTAGTCAGGAACTGAGTGTGTACAAAGCTCCACACATCATAGTGGCCCATGGATTATTCCATGTCTGAATGGATGAGGTCAAGTTGGAAGTATAAGTTCTCCAGGAAGAGGGGGGCCAGAGGAATCTAATTGCCGTTGTAGAGCTTGATAGGCAAAGGAAACACCAGGGGATTGATGTTCTCGACAGGGTTGCTAGGGAGAACAAAAAAGGAAATGAAATAACTAACGAAGGCGGCTAGGTACAAGTTGCCGTAGTAGCTCGACCCAACTACGGAGTCACAGCTCTACTCTGTGATGTCACCCACAACTGGTTACAGGTCCTTGAAGAAATGCTTCATCCAGGAAAGATGGGTGGTTTTGTCCTTCTTAGGTCGCTCTTGGAGCAGTTCCCCAGTCCTAAGGTTATACGAGGAGCCATACTTTCGCTCCTCCCAAAAGACGCTTTGAAGGGCAGTGACGACAACTTGTTCTATAGAAGTCAGGGATACTGGATCAAAGGGGTGGTCTCTACGGGTGCTTAAATGCAGAAAGACGACAATATCTTCGAGGGTTGGAGTTATCTCCCCCATGCTAAGGCAAAAGTGTGAGTGTCGCGGCTCCAGCGGGAGACAACCATATCAATGTTAGTCTGTACCTTGCGCACTAATAACTCCCTCAAAATCAAAATGGCATTGAAAAGACGAACATCCCACAAACGCTGCTCGATGCCATCATTTACGATGATGTCATCAACCCAGAGGGACCAATCTGCTGGGGGGCCCGAGTGAGTGCGATAGTAGATGTATGAATAGGGAAAGTCGCCACACTCCACACGAAATCGCAGCACAGAGATTAGGTTTACCATGTCGGCATCATCCAAAGTAGCCTTGTGCTGGCCATGAGGAAGAATAAAAGAAAGGTAAAGAAGACTTTGGAAAGTGAGGACAAGAGAGAGAAGATGACAAGAAGACAAAAGGTGTGTTTGAGTGAAAGTGGGGGACCAGTGGACCCAAGGGCACTATTTATATAGGAAGTAGTAAAAGGGCACCGACACGGCTCCCTAGGCCTATTATGACCTGTTAGTCAAAGGGGGGCACCTTTTCAGAGCTGACGCAACTTCTGACCTAACCAACGCAACCCTTGGGTTACTTGCTGACGTCATGCATGCATGAGAAACTAGGAGCATGTCCCCCACATGCGCAGGGGGCAAATATAGAGGATCAGAAATTAAGCCCCAAACTAAGTATGGGCCTAAGCATTGAGGTCGCCCCAAAAAGGCGGCCAGGAATGAAAAAAGAAGCATGGGCAAAAGCCAAAGGGAAATAGGCCGAAGTAGGTCCGACCCACCAAGGGTCCAAATGGACTCCACGAAGGAAAACGCCTAAGTTAAGTTGTAGAGGTAACGCCTGCAGCGGTGAAGTTGTGGAGAGAACATGTGCAGCGGGAAAATTGCCTCAGCACTTTGCCTCAGCACCGCCATTCCTAATATCTTCGGTTCCACCACCATCTGAAGTTGCTGAGGGGTAGGAAAGAGAAAGCTGACGCAACTAAGTTGCAGAGGCAACACTTGCGACGGCCAAGTTGCAAAGGCACTTTGTCTCAGCGCCACCATTCCAAATAATGTCTGTACCACAACCATCTGGAGTTACTGAGGAAAGAAGAAAAAACGAAACAATTAAGTCACAAAGGCAGCACTTGCAGCGCCCAAGTTGCGGAGGCATTATGTCGGTACCGCCATCTCTAATATCTTTGGTCCTGCCATCTGAACTTGCCGCGGGAAATGACTACCGTAGTAATTACAACCGTAGTAGCTAAGTTGCAGAGGAAATATCCTGCCAAGGTGATAGTAGCCTTTGAGAGAGACCTCCTTCTGCAAGTAGAAGCTAATGCTTGGCGCTAATAGTGGGCCCCAAGGCATTGCTAGCTTAGGGCTGATAACATGCCCCCAAAGTTCATTTAACTTGGCGCTGATAGCAAGCCCCAAGACTTACTAGTTGGAGCTGATAGCAGGCCTAGAGATACCAGTCTACCGCGGCAATCCCGTAAAGATGGGAGTAGGGTAGCCCAAAAATAAGGGACTCCCTTTCCATTACCTAGGTCATGGACTTGCCTTAGTCGCACATGCAGGACTAAGGAAGCCCCCTTGGGCTTGGTACTAAGGCATAGCATGGCTAATAGCAAGCTTGGTTGTGGCCTTCATCTTGGGAAGCTGGGGAGTTTGTGGTTAGATGGCTAAGGGCGGAGGCTTCGCTGAGGTGAACACAAATGTAGTCGATAGCAGACTAATGGAGTCCTGAGAATGCATGTACTGGCCAAATAGAACTGAGAAGGCAAGTGCAGTGGCAAGGTTCACTGCTGCAAGTGCACTTGCTAAGGTTCAAGCTGAGAAGGCAAGAGCAGAGGCAAACACTCCCACTGTAATTGCACTTGCTGAGGCTTAAAAGGGAGTTGTAGTGCTAAACACTCCCGTCGCAACTACACTTGCTGAGGTTCAAAAAGGTAGTTGCGGAGGCAAATAGATAGTACATAGTACATGCAGAAGGATACGTGGCACCTTCAACCTGGTGGCTCAAGGTAGAATATTCCATGTGATTCTCTGGGACACATGTCTTCACTCTATTTGGCCACTTGGTGTCCTTTTGGTACCAAGGAAAAGCCTATAAATAAGACCCATTTCCTAAGGTTCAGCAAGAGGAATTTTTGGAGATTTGGGAGAGATGTTGCCCATTTTGGTATTGCCATATATTCTTTCTTGAGCTACTTGCTTCACCATCACCTAGTTATACACTCTCTAACTCCCATATAGTTGCTGCCACACATTCTCCTGCCACTTCCACCATTGTTAGACCATTAACATAGTTTTGCCTCTCTAACCTTGAACCCCTCCCTACACTTCTATGACCTGATAATGGGCACTAGGTTGCGTGCTTTGCACATAGTCGATCTCACCAGTATATTATAAAGGAAATCAGAAAAACAAAACACAAACAAAGCATGTCCCAGTAATCTAAACGAATTTTATGAAAACAAAAAAACAAAAACAGGCCCTAATAATACAAGAAAGACAAAGGGTTTGGTTTTCACAAACAGTTAGCCAAACAAATTTTCTAAAAGACAAAGGGTTATGATATTTTTATTTTATTTTATTTCTACATTATAATATTCAAGCTATCTATTAGATTATAATATTCAGACCTCTATTCCCTAAAAATTTTGATTTTATGTGGAATCAGGCCATCCATTGCATTATAATATTCTCCCACAATTAGGGTTTTGTGTGGTTGTAGTTTTGGTTAGTAAAAGGTTTTTGTTTGTGTGGTCATTGTTAATTGCAAAGTAGAGAGAAACAAATTATACCTTTGATTCTTAAGAAAAAAGTCTACAGCTTTATTGTGTGTGGCTCCACCACTAGCTACGTTATGTGCGGCTCCACCACCAACAAAAGGCTGGTGTTCTTCAACAGCAAGAAACGTTCTAAAGAAAAAAAAAAAGAAAAAAAAAAACAGCAATGAAACAACGGCCCTGTTTGGTAGAGCTGTGGAAAAGTGATTATAACTTACAGCCTAACAGCTTATAGCTTATAACTGTGAATATAAGCTGATTTTTGACTTATAAATTAAGCTTCTCCTCCCCTACTCAAAGAATAAGTTGATTTTTGACTTACAAAAAGCTATAAGCTGTATTATTAAGCTGAACCAAACACATCAAAATAACTTAAATTAAGCTAAAAGCTGAAATAAGCTGGAAATAAGCTCTACCAAACAGGGTCAACAGCACTCTGTAAGAAATGGGTAGATTAGGTCAGTGCAGAGGAGACGAAACAGAGGAGACGAACGGTCAAGTAATAGGAAAGGAAAGGTTATGAAAAATTAGGTAGGGATGCATTTGATTGTGAAAATATTATGAATATGGATAGATTTGGTATCTAAAAAAATATTATTAAAATTTAGGGTTTAGGATGAGGGTCCAAAAAAATAGAAAGTCCAAATTTTTTTAACAAATGCTAATAGTAGCACTTTAAAAATTACAAGCCCCAAATTGAAGCACAATTTTTTTAGGCTCGTTAACATTTTTTCTAGTTTGATCTCAAAACACGTTCTCACTTATAATAGTCTAGTTAAGATAGTAGATAGGCAATTCTATCCTTAGATAAGTTGTTTTGTAATCTCGGGATAATATTCTCAGAAATGATACATTTCTTTAATTTGGAAGCTCTAAACAAGGCTCTAATGACTTGACAATAAAACAAAAAACAACAACAATAATAAGATACAAACATCACATCATTATAGGATCTACACACCATTAAAACTTTCTAAAGCTTTTCTTTTAGAGTTCCCAATCTTTTTTCTAATAGTCTCCACCATACACATAGTGTCACTTGTCTTTTTCTCTCCCAGAAACTAATATAAAACAATAGATCGTACTGTTTCAACTAATGAAAAATAAATTAAGAAACTACATAAATTTGTCCTAGGACTACAACATAATTTTTTTATATCCTTCTGTCTTATGTGAAGAGAATAATTCCTATGGCTTCAATTGAGTAAAACATCTTATTCACCAAAGTCAAGAATGGTGTGCCACCGAAGCTCTCCCACTCCTTCCTCCTACCTTTCTGACTTCCACCAAAAGGAAGTGGAAATTTTGGTGGATTCGTCTCTCTCTCTCTATCTCTCTCTCTCACAAGCACAACAATCACATCTTCCGTATCTATATATTTACCAATACGTTCTTTTTTCTACAGTTAAATCTTCCATTGTTGTTGCTAAGTTCTTGTACAAGAATGGATAGAAGGTTAATTGTGGCTGCCCAGATAGGTGATGTTGACCTTTTGCTCAATTTGATCCAATATAATTCCCTAATTCTACACTATGTATCATTAACAGAGGAAGAGACTCCATTATACATTGCTTCTATGGCTGGCCACCTCAATTTTGTACGAAAAATACTAGAATTGAAGCCAAATTTCGCCGAGGTGCTCAACCAAGACGGTTTTAGTCCCCTCCATATTGCCTCGGTGAATGGGTATTTAGAGATTGTTAAAGAGCTCTTGAGCTTGAACGTGAATCGTGATCTGTGCACGCTGATGGGTAGAGACAAGAGGATACCCCTCCACTACGCGGCGATCAAAGGTAGAATTGCTCGCTGCTAGCCTGGATTCTGTTGAACATGTCACGGTTCGGGGAAAGACTGCCCTTCACCTTGCAGTCAAGAATAATCAAATTGAAGCGTTGAGAGTGTTGGTGGAACATCTCAAAAATATCAAGAAAGAGGGTGTTTTGAGCATGGAGGATGAGCATGGCAGCACCATCTTGCACCTAGCTATCTTAGGAAGACAGTACGAGGCAAGTATTTCCCTTTATACCCTTTTGTGTCGAGAAATTTTTTAATACAAATATTAAACTTGAATGATCTGATAATAATAGTCACCTTGACAAGTCTGTTTTTTTATTTGAAATGATATTTTGATTAGAGTTTCTTTATAATTTTTTTTATTTGTATATTATTGTTCTTTTAATTATGAGATAAATTATGAGCAGGTTGTCGACTTATTGCTTGGTAAACATTCCGTTACTAGGGCAGTGGTGGAAGTGAATTCCTTAAACAAGAATAACCTCACGGCTCTTGATGTTTTATTAAGTTTCCAAAGGAGAGCGGGCGATAGAGAGATTGAAGATGTTCTTAGGCAAGCCAGTGCTAAGAGAGCTAGAGACTTGCACACATCGACACTAGCATTAACTAGCCAAAATCAGGGTGTTACAACTAACCTATCAAATGACTGGTTAGTGACAATTGAACGAACTCTATCTCCAGGTAGACAGTTGCTAGACTATTTCAAATACGACAAGTTTAGAGATTCGCCGAGTGAAACACGAAACACCATGCTTGTGATAGCTATACTTATTGCCACCGCAACATATCAAGCTGTGCTTAGCCCTCCAGGTGGTGTTTGGTAAGGCGATACTACCAACAATGGGACAAATAGTACCAACAATGGGACATATATTACCAAACCACATATTGCTGGACAATCGGTCATGAGTTCATTGAGTGTGTTCTGGTGCTTGTTTCTCGTTTCCAACTCAGTAGGGTTCTTCACCTCTCTCTACATGATCAATGTTCTCACACGTGGATTCCCTTTGCAATTGGAGTTGCAAGTTTCAATGTGTGCACTCGCAACAACATATGACAGTTCTATGGTTTCAATGACATCTAATAATGTCTTGTCCGTGTTATTTATTGCTATTTCCATAGCCTTGCCATTAGTGATACCTATTGTAACTGTGGTGGCAAGGAATCACCTCAAATGGCCAGGAGTTGCATAGCAATGTACAAGCCTACAAAGTGCTTGAATTAGAGGCATGTTGTTCTACTAATTTTCTCCTTGTTTATATGAAATTTAATTGTTTGTGAGTATTCCTCACTTGTTACTTTCATAGGCCTAGAAGCTTATTTGGTGAACATCTATAATAAATAAACAATTGAGGCAAATAAGATAAATTTCTCTATTATCATTCCAAGTTTTTTTTTGTTTCAAACCACATGCCAACAATAGTTTCAAAAACAACAATGCAACTTACAAAAATTATTCTGAAAAATAATAAAATGAACTGTGAAGCAGATTCATTGAGTATGGTCCACTTCACACAAATTTAAATTTACATCATACAATTCAATTTTTTGTCTTTTTCGACCTACTTTTTTCTAATTTTGTAATTTTTTTATTTCAAAAATCAAAGTACAAATGATTAGTGTAAATCTAGGTAGAGAAGTATTAATTCCGATACAAACTATACAAGAAATCTTTCTAAGCAAATTTAAAAATATCCAACACCTTGTTTGAACTCTGAAAACAATTCAAGACAAATGTAACTATGTGAACGTGTCATGATTGAAATATAATATAAATAAAATTCTCACTTTCACCAAACTTTTGTAAGGCCATCTCCAACGGTGCGTTATAGTGATTCAAGTTTTACCCCGACCTTTGTTGTGTTCCGGACTCGGGTTCCGTGGTTGCATGTTGTTGTCTTTGTCTTGTTTCCTCCCTTTGATTCTTCAAATTTAAGTTTTGGGACTTGCTGGGCGAGTTTGGAATAGGTTAGTTGTCTATTGGTGCAAATGGTTACTGCCCTGGTTTTGGTTTATTCGCTCGAGCGAGGGTTCTTGTGCTCGAGCGAGGATTGAGAGTCCTCAGGTTTCTTTCTTAGACGCAGCTTTCGCTTGAGCGAGAACTTTTGCGCTCGAGTGAGACGTGTGTTCTTTGTTCCTTCACTTGAGCGAGAACTCTTGCGCTCGAGCGTGCGTCTGCGTTGGTGGCAGACCTGAAGCTTTGCATTGTGCGCTCGAGCGATGCTTCTTGTGCTCGAGCGAGGCCACTTATTGTGTATGGTCGCTTAAGTGACAACACCTTCGCTTGAACGAGCCTCGTATTTATCAGTTTGCAGCAGCGTGATTTTATATCACTTTTTGACCTTTTCTTCACTCAAAACCCTAATCCAGCTGTCTTTCTCTCTAAAACACCCCCTCTCTTTACAAATACTCCTTTGATCTAGTGTTCTTCTACCCTACTTCCTTTGTAAAAAGGGTGGAGTATCGCGTGGGCTTCCTTTTGATCTGAAAAAGTTTAAGTTTGGAGCATCTTCAAGTTTCTCCTTCTTCCTCTTTGAGCTTCTCCATTTAAGGTAGGGATAATCTACGCTTTAATATGAGTTTTGACCTAGACATTTGTCATTTTTGCATAAATGGTGGAGTTGAGAAGCTTGGGTGAAGTTAGGGTTGGGTTTTGATTTGTATAAGAGGGGTTTTCTATTTTGAACTCCGTATGTGTTTGTGAGATCTTGAAAATGGGGCTATTTGTGTATAATGGGTGGAATTAGGCCTTGGGTGTAATATTTGGGAAATAGGAAAAAATGCCCTAGTTTGAATTAAATAAACTATTTTGCATAAATAGTGAAATCAATGTGAAAATATGAAATTGGTTTGGGAATTATGAAATTGGGGGAAATGTGATTAAATGGTGTAGTTGGATTGATAAATTACTCACCTATGGAAATTTGGAAATTATCTGTTGATAGATTTATTTATCTGTTTAGAAATATCTGTTTTAGGCTATCGGTGAGGGATAACTATAATTGTTGTAGAAAATGCATGAGAATTAGGAAAATTGAAACTAATCAATTGAATTGTGTTATTGAATATGACTGTTTGAGTAAACCATTGAAAATGTGAATTAATCAGTCATTGTATATGACAACGTGCTTAAATACATTGTATATGTATCTTTGAATGGAAGGAGATAGAGGATGTACTCCATTGTTTGGGAGGAGATAGGGGATGGACTCCATTGATAATTAAGTTGGCCGGAGTATCCAGGGTGAAAGTCTTGAAACCTTATTTATTTATGGGTGTCGGTTCCCTCGGATGTGATTCTGTAAAATGGCAAGAAATAGAAGTGTTGGATTGATGAATGCATTGAATTGTGAACCATTGAGTTGAAATCTCATTTTGGTTGTTTTGATAACTATGAATTTGGTAAATAGATTTACCCGAAATGGATGATTGGAAATGAATTGAGATATGGTTATATGTATTGAATGGTCACGGAAATAATATGTGTCGGTTAAGAAATATCTCACATTTATCTGATGCTTATGTCATAATTATTTCTCATATATGGTTTAGCATATCTCTACTGGGCTTTGGCTCACCCAACTTGGGACACCATTTTCAGGTACAGGTGACATGCCACCTTCAAGGACATAGCTTGGGAGGCTTAGGGGTTGAAGGCTCCACTTTGTATATTTTGTTTGGCGTTTAATATAAAATTTCAAGCCCAGGGCTTTATATGTAAAAGAGTTAGAACTCTTCTTTTGTTGTAACCAAGTGACAACTTGGAAAGTTGTAAGCCCGTAGGACATTATTTACTTGTTATCAGTTATAAACATTTATGAACATGTATTGTACGTAATACTTTTTGTAAAGAAGACTCTGATGAATGAAAATATAATATTTCTACTATGCTTATAGACTTTATGAATGGTTGATTTGTATAATATTTTGAGGGTGTTACACATCAGATTAAGTAATTCAAATTTGATGAAAAAGTCCCTTTTTCCCTCTCCAATGGTTTCACCAAATTGATATCAAACTGAGAACGGAACAAAACTTTCGTCAAACTGAGGACAAGTGCGAGATTTCACCATTTCACTATGCTGTAACATTCGGAGTAGGCCAACCGGTCAACTAGCCGGATATCCGGCAGGTTGACTCACCACTCGCCCCTTGCGGTCGATTATCAAAATAACAGAAGAAGGGAAAGAAGAATTGAGTGTAAGAAAGAACACATTCATATTGAGTGTAAGAAAGAAAAATTGTAAATTAAAAAATTTCAACTCCTCGATCGGCAAGAAGGAAGATTGGAAGACCACCAGGCTTGGATTTGAAGGAGAGATCAACATCACTGAAGCTCTTACAAGCCTTTTGATTAGCCTTTGCATAAACCACAGTTCCAACCATTGTTCCTCCATATTGAGGAACCCCAAAATTCACAATTGTAGATTCATAAACACCTTTCAAAGAGTCCAGTGACGTCACCTTCAAGCTATTCCTCTCCACCACAAATCTACCCAAACAAGACTCGTATAGAAGAAACCAAAAACACACGATGAATCTCACTTTTTCTCTTATGTTTTCTCTTACTTTCCTTAGAAAGAAAATGACCCCAAAACCGAGCAATCAAAACTCAAATCACTTTCTCGAAACAAACCCAAACCCAAAAATCAATTCTTTACACGAATTTATTTCGAACCCACATCATTATTTATCTAGAAATGACCTAATTCTTCTGGGTTTTATTTTATTTTTTCTTTTTCAGCTGAACATGGAAAGTTGGGTTGTTTGGAAGACAAGACTCTGCAAGAAAAAAGAAAAAGTTTTTTTTTTTTTGGAACCAGAAAAAAGAAAAACTTGAGGAATTGTAAAAAAGCCTTGCTTATTGGATAAAAAAAAAATGTAGACTTTGGATTGTTTTTGGAAAAAATTCACGACCCTTCTTCACGAAGTAAACATGAGATCTAAAACCGCCATTGATGAAAGCTTTCAAAGCTTTATTTGTAAAATCAAGATAAGACAAAAATGAGGTTGCTTATCAAGATAAGATAGAACCGGTTGATCAAATTGAAAAAAAAAAAAATTCAGGCCTAATCGGTGGACCGGCCAGTCGTCCCACCGGACGTCCCCTTTATTTTGATGCATGCTATAATGCAACGGTTGGAGCGGCTTATATCAGATTGAGGAAATTATCTTTTTTTTCCTCAGATTTGGTGAAAAATTTGCTAAACCGTTGGAGATGCTCTAAGTAACTAGAATGGAAAAGAAATTGCATTGTAAAATATTTGTTAGACCATTGATTTTGTGATAGCATCAAATTGTAGATTTGACTTTGTTAATTGATCACTTGGAATACCCAACCGCTTTGCCCAAAATCAAACTAAAAACGTGCAGGTCACATAAGGCGGTTAGCAAACACCTATTCATTTTCTTCTTATTCATCCTTTTTAGTATTTTTTTCTTTTTTTTCTTTTTTTAATTTCTTTTTTACAAATCTAACATTATCAAACTAGCTTATTAGACAAGGTAACCAACCAAACCTTGACATTCATAAGATATTTTTCCATTTGAAGCAAGTATTTTTTATTTATTTATCTTGTGACAAAGATAATGCACTCGTTTGGCATAATAAATTCAGTTCTGCTGGGTAGCTCGAATCCAGCTGGCCCGAATGGCTCGAAAATGCAAAACGACGTCGTTTTGCATTTTTTTTTTCTTCTTCTTCTTGCCGTCTTCGTCTTCCTTCCTCCTCTCTTTTCTGTCTCAAACATTTGTGAACATTAACAAAATTGAAGTTAAACATATACCTCAATGGCAAAATCAAAATCCTAATTATGATCAAAATTGACAAAATAGTGAACATTTGTGAAAGAAAGTGGGTTGGACATTTGTGCTCAACACTTTCTTCATCTTCTTCAACATTAGTGAACTGGTTTGTGCAGGAAAGAGAGGAGGAAACCTACTTTCTTTCACAAATGTTGAACATTGACAAAATTGAAGTTGAACATTGACCAAAACCATCACAAAATTGAAGCAAACCCACTTTCTCTCTCTAAAAACAAAATCAAAATCAAACCCACCCATCGATCAAATACAAAAATCAAACCCAATCAAACATAAAAATCAAACCCGCCCACAAAAAATCAAACCCACCCATCGAGAGAGAGATCTTCCTAAGAGATACACACACAGATACAAGAGGGATCATCACACACAGGTGTCATTTGGG